TGGAGGAGGTTACCCAACACTTTGCTTAGTTCTAATGGAGACTGCCACTGTCCTGTGTTCTCATTTTACAGATCCTCAATCCGAAGGACACTGTGATGGATCCAATTGTCATCAACAGATCCCGGAGATTTGTTAGCTCTGAAACATTCCCCCAGTGTGTTCTTGATCCTTGGATTGTCGAAGATCGGTTGTGCCCAGACTTCGGCCCTTGTAACCGGTTCAATCCTAGTGTCAGGTTTGACCTTCTTCCACGCTTCAACCACATTCGACCAGAATTTTGAACCAATATTCCTGTTCTGATAGGAGTCTAATTGTATGCAAAGCCAAAGATCTTTAGGACGCTGAATGTGTTCCGCCATTATCACCCAGTGCTCTTCCCCATCACTTCAGCTTTCGTGTGCCCTGGCGACTTCGAGGTTTGTTTCCTTTCGTGTCTTGCGTAGTGCGGCGAGGACCACTGGGGACACCACCTCTTGATGTTGTTGAGCCACCGAACCCGCTCGCCCCTTTGATCATGCCTCTGGTTTTGCCTCTGCACATCCTGGTTCTGTTCCAGGTGCAGATGGGTAGATCCTCCTTTCCTGTTATTCCGATCCGCCACTATGTCCATGCACAGAAGGGTACATCCTCCTTTCTCGCTATTCAGATTCGCCACTGGGTGTTGGCAGTGCCAAGCAGACATGTGGACCTCCACTGCACCAGACGCCTTCACTCTCCGCCTTTAGCTTTCTTTTCCCTATTCCTCGTCACTTGTTGCTGCTGCTGCTGCCCGCCCTGCAATGCGCTGCAGTTCTGTGTAGTGTCGTACTGTGTCGAGCCATATCATGTCGTGCCAAGCCATGCCATCGTGCCATGTCACCGTGTGGTGCCTCGGCCTGCCTGCGCAATATTTTCCCTCGCTATGGCAAAACACCGACTGATGGATGTGGACATCGCCAGTGTGTTGCTACGCCACAGTGGGGCATGACTGCACATAGTGCAACTCCTCACTACTCTCCACCACCATCACTAATGCCAACTTCGTGGGTCCATTTCACTTGAACATATGTCCGCGTTATACTTGGCTATGGATGTTTTCAGAAGCAATGTCCTCCGCTGCTCTCACTCCCTCGAGTCGTTGTTTCATGCAGCTACTTGCGGTAAACGTTGTATTCACCTAAGCTACCAGCCGGGCCGCACCTTGTTTTCCATGGCGGCCCGACCGTGCAGAGGCCAAAGAAGGTCCCTACAAAAAATAAAAAATAAAAAAGTCTGAAAAACAAATCATGTAATGCATAAAAATAAATTGAACAACTTTTGACTCAGGGTAACATCGAAATTTCTTACCAATTTTTTTTATTAAAAAAAAACAACACACTTTTGTTTTAGCCCGGCCTAGCAAGTGGTCCCGGGCCGGTCAGGTAGCCTAGGTTTTAACCTCATATCTATAATGCAAGTTCGGGTTACATGGAGGTAACCCCACAAAATTTCTTCACAAAATTCATAGTTCATGGTATACACAACGATGTGCCCAGTGATGGAATGCAATGTCTAGTCTATCAAGTAGCCCACAACATGGTTGTTCGAATCATGAAACCACAACTTTGCAAGATAAATACATGCTACGAATTCCCATGACTGGCGGTCATTGCGGTTGTGACCATCGTGACGGCCTCTGGTCACAGCCGGGGGGGGGGGTCGTCATCGCCGTAGATCACCCACCGCAACGGGGGGAGGGAGGTATCGTCAACTAAGGTCGGTATTCCAGGACCGGTATCGAGCGCACCGGCTCCCGCCTATTATCGCAAAAGGCGAGCGTCCTCCCGATTATCTCACACAGGAGTTAAAAAAAAAAAAAACAAGAGACATTTTAAAGACAACACATAGATAATCTCTTGTACCACCGAGATCGATGAGGTTGCATCATCTCATCGCCGCTCTAACCGGGTGTGTCAGTCGTACTTCCCACGGTCCTCTACAAAAGGATACGTTCCCTCGGGGTACAACTTACCTTCCCTAAGTGGTTGTCAACACCCTTAGAGGCTTATCCTTACCAAGCTATTGACCCACATGCGAAAGTTTTTAGATGCAATTGCAGAGGTAGGTCAGTCGACGGCATTTGCCCATTTGCTGTAGTATAGGTACGCTTGGTTAAAACGCCAACTGGATCCGAATGTTGTTCGCTCCTTAGGGCGCTGATCTCCTAAGGACGAAGCGCATGCTGGTCAGTAGGACGGTCTCAACGAAGCGTGAAACTCACAATGCAATCCTTGTCCCTCAGACATATAACTCAAAAAAGATAATTATAATGATCGAATATAACTACAACGAAACGAATCGACCGTAGTCAATAGAAACATACATCCAAGTCAACATGAGTTAAAATAATAACTGAAAATAACTTAGCATAAAATAATAAAGTCAAAAACACAAGATTGAAATAAAAAACTGGCCACCTAAGATCGAACTCAATAAATAAAGTATTATATTAGTCACCAACGGTGGGTTAGCTTGGGCAATAACCTCGATGCAGCCGGCAAGGTAGTCAGACTAATTAGTTTTGACTCGATGAAACTCGCTACCAAAGTTATCCATTCTACCGTACCTTCCGCCGACCTAACACTAGGCATGCACACACCCGTCTCCATATGTTTATAATCTTCTGGGATGTCATACTACCTTGTGGATGATTTTTTATTAGTTGTGTTACTTGAAGTGTTGCATGTCCGACAAGAATCCTATAAAATCATTTGACACGTTGCTACAATCGTTATCGTTACACAAAAAATGTTGTCGCCTGATTTATCCACCCTTGATACGAACCCCATCTGCGCAAGTGGTGCCTACGTGCGTCTACTTTATTCTAGTGACCCTACAGACCAAACTTTTTTTTGGCATCAGTCCAGCTTAGTCGTGATACCTATATGTAGTCACCGAAGTAAACAACGTTTTCCCCCTCCTATTCATGATTTAGAGAAAAAGTTTGCCCCACACTTTTGCCATCACGCACCCAACCCTCTAGGAAGTGGTATGTGGATACTCCATTCTCTCGCCTGAATACAAAACTCAGATCTCAAAGGTCGGACCATCACCATGGAGTCGGCAAAGTACCACCCCCGAGGAATCGGGCCCACTCAAAGTCGGTAACAGGACAGACCCCTAAAGTATACGAACCCCCGCTGTCGGGCGCATCGATCCGGCACCGCACGGGGGCAGCGCGGGACCTGTCTCTTATACACATCTAGATGTGTATAAGAGACAGTCCCGAAGGACCTTACCACCCTTTTACTGCTCACCATTCATGTCTGAGCAACAGCCTCACGTGCGACATCAGCACCTCCGTCGTACCCTGTGGCTAGCCGCCTACCGTCTTCAGCACCCGAATAGTACGCCCGGTCGTTATAATAGCCGTATTTGGCCCAACTTCCAGTCTAAATACAGCGATAATTACCCGGCGTTCTATTCGAATGAATACGGTAGCCAGCATGTCCTCACTTTTTTTTTTTTAGCATGTCCTCACTTTTTTTTTTTTTAGCATGTCCTCACTGGTTCTTCTCCTCCATCAGAACTTCAGGGATTACACCATCATTGTTTTCGGCAATGTCGGCCTTATGAGAGAATCAATCCTCACTCACGCACAATAGAATGCCATTTATTGGACTGAATTGGGCTGCACTTGTTATCATATACATTCAGGAAATTACAAGCGCGGATATGCCCAAAGCCAGACAGTTTAACAGACAAGAAAGGCAGTCTGCATATACACACGTTAATACGTATATGTAGCTGTGCCCACCCATTTGACTCGATGGGAGTGCTTTTTCAATCCGCATGCGCGCTCCATTTCAAAGCCGGGGAATATTTCTGCTCCTCTCTACGAGCCGGTGATGCATATATGCTGAACCTGTTTCGCTATCCATTTCCAGATGGTGACTGACGAACGGACAAAGAGGAGGAACACATGCGACGAAATCCCTCAGGGGGAAGGGAATATGTTTCAGGGGTATCACTCAGCGTTCAGAGGGGCTGCTGAACGGCTGCCATTATTTGATTTCTTCAAATAGAAAAAGACGAGGGAGAGCGCAGCGTGGGCTGTAAGAAACTCTTCACAAAGACGGGGAGAGAAGAGAGAGAAAGGAAGAAGACGAGAAAGGGAACAAGCAGAAAACAAGACCAAGCATATAGATGAAAAGAGTTTATTTGCCGCTAGTACTTTATGTCCGCCTGGGCAGGAGAAAGACGAGGAGACAAGAGGAAAAGGAAACAAAAGAAACAAAAGAACAAAAGAGATATGTTACGCACGTCAAGTGCACAGCATGTTTTCCGCACCGTTGGTCATAGAAACTACCACGGTAGAATCAATCAGTGACTGAGGTGAACCCGTAGAGAGGAGAAGAACGACACGGGAAACCAAAAAAACAGAGGAAAAGGGAGTAGGACGACGAAGCGACCGAAAAAAACAGAGGAAGAGGGAGTAGAAAGACGAAACGACCGCGATGAGGACGAGACAAAGAACGAATCAGGAAGCGAACAGATTGGCGAGGGAGAGGAATGGGAGGAGAAGGTCTCCTAGGAAAACAGACAGGCTGAAAAGGGATGGCAGAAGAGGGAGAAATGGAAGGAAAACTGAACGACGAGCACGCGAGGGGGGACCACACAAAACGAAAGCAGGACGAGCAATAGGACGACACGAGGAGAGGGAGACGTGGCGGAAGGACGAGCGAGGACAGGGATGGACAACCTCAGACAAAAAATGGATAAGGAATACATAGGCTGTGTCTGTTTAACGGCGCACTAGACGCATGTGACTGTTGATGAACAGATCATGAGGTCGAATCCTGACCAATACAAAGAGGACTGATGGAAGTAACGAGAGGAAACAGCAAGAACCGAAGACAGGAACAGAAAGCGGAGCGAAAGACAAAAAAAAAGGAAGAGGAACAAGAAGAAGAACAAGGCCTTAATACGCAAAATATACATCGAGCAGCTCTTACGCAAAGAGGTCGTCTACAATACATATCGAGCATCCCAATTCTTTATTACTTCACTTGAATGCGAACTTGTCCAGAAAAAGAACCTCCTATATACTACTCAAGGGACTCAGCTTACTCAAGGGACTCAGCTAGAAGACAGGAGTAGAAGACGAAAAGGGAGGAGGGTGAAGTGCATGACGAGCCAGGCTGACAACCAACTGCGACCATACACTGCTCCCGTCGTCGACCACTGAGTTAGGCAGAAGGCACAACAATCAGTCGTCTCCAGAGATACAGTAAGTTCCCCCACGGAACCCACCGAGCAATGCTGCCGAGGATCTCGCCAGTACAAAAGAAATATCCAACGGCCAAAATAGTAAAATACAAGCCGATCGACAGGACGACAAACCAACCACGGCAAAAAGGTCTACAAAGCCGTTCCAGCGTTAACCCACCGAATCTTGAAAACGACAAGAAACACCAAATCCACAATACTCCACCGCACACAGCCTCGAAAAATATGCCATTCGGTTGAGACAGGTGGCGACGAAGGAATGACAATTACAAGTGAAGAGATCGCACATCCGATCCTGAAACTTCAGCACGCCGTCTTGGTTGGATGTGGCCTTGTCCCAGGACAAACCACCCGTTCTCACCGAGAGACAAGATCGGCGGTCCATTCCGACGTAGCGTGTGCCGTTTTAACGAAACCGAAACGGAAACTATCCTTGCTGACAAAGCACCTGCATGCATGACGAGTACAGTGACTTGAACACACAACTCGGGGCTAGGTAAGGAGGCAAACGCCTAGGCGTAAGGCTACAAGTGGGCTGGGGCAAGGCCCAAGATGAACACTTTACCCGACCCCAGAGCACGGAGATCCCGCGGCGACACGGTGTACCCAACCCAACCCAACCACCCTCGTCCTCTGCACCGCCACTCTACCGTCCTGTAATCTCTACACGGCGGTACGCCCAGCGAAAAACAAAATTCAAAAAATAGACCGTTAGATTGGCGCCCTAAATGACCAAATCAAAGGGACAAACCCCCCAGGCATTGATGGGTAAAGGGGTAGAAACGATGCACGGAAGGGAAACGGCGGCCATCGCGAGGGTCGATCGAAGAGGAAGGAGACGAAGAAAAACGAGGAAGCAGAGACAGGAAGACGACGAGGAGGCGGCGTTGCAACGGGCTGAAGACAACAACTGAACATGACAAACGGAGGCGATACCGCTTTCTCCACCACTCACTCGAAATGCCGGGTCTACGTCCTTCAGCCGAATACAACGTACGGTCATTATTGTTGTATTCACACGGAAAGATACGCCAAATACAGCTATAATGACCGTACGTTGTATTCGTGTGAAGAAGGTAGTATAATCCCTTCCCGGTTCAATTCTTGCCGACTCCGCACCCACTTCCTCTCATGGTCATATACTCCCATCCCAGCTCCCTCGTCTTCTCTCTTCTCTTGTTAATTGTGACCGTCCACCTCACCCCACCGCACACACACACACACAGATGCACATCCTTTGCCTGTTCTTTCCGTATCTTTTTCCGTGTTCGCGTTTCAGCAACGTTGCCCGCCGTAGATCACCCGCGAATATAGCACATCCATCCACTGTACGCTTCGTGACCATTCCCAGCTTATTCGCGTTACGGATCAGCTTCCTCCAATTACAAGCCTCTGCCACCATCATATCGTGCAAGTTCCGTCTGAGAGGCAAGGAGTCCTTCGGACTTGGGTCAGAGCTCGCCGCTTGTCGCCCTCCCGTTCTACTTCCATCTGCTTCATATCTCCCATTCCCTATGACGGCCACATTTCCTATGGAATCCCTACACCTTTACCTAACCATCTCCATCGGCTAATCTACTACCTATCCATCTATCTATCTATCTATCTATCTATCTATCTATCTATCTATCTATCTATCTACCTACATGTCTACCTATCTATCTATTTCTCTCTCTGCCACCCTACCTATTTGTCTATATCGCTACCCGCCAACACATATTCCTTCTCTATATAGTACTGATCGATTGATCGATCGAGACGCAACATCCACATCAGACTGCTGATGATGATAACGGAACTTGACCGTCAATTATGATGACGACAACGACGATAGTTGACAGTGTCGCCGACGAGCTACTGGTTGGTCCACTTGCTTGTTTGTGCCGACGTAACAAGCGGCAGGCCCATCAATCAATTACTGTAAATGAGCAAACAGCAGGAGAATGGAGACAAACCTCCCCATCAACAGGTTCACCAACCACTCAAAATGAGCCAAAACAAGAGCTTGGCTTCCTTCCTTTCCCCGCATACTATCGTCAAACCTCCCCTAAATGGCGACGACAGGTTCATCAACAGGTCCATCCATCAGTCAATTGAATGAGCAAACACCAAGAGATAGCTTTCCTTCTTTTGCAGCATCTCGTGAAACCTCCCCTCACCTTGCTAACAGACACCTTACACCAAGAAAGAAAGAAAGAAAGAAAGAAAGAAAGAAAGAAAGAAAGCCGGCGTTCTTTGGCTTCGGCTGTTCTTTTTCGCCCTCCCTCTTTCTCAGCGCGTACTCACACTTGGACCTTTTAAGCTTATTTTTTCTAGACGTAATTGCGGTCGGATTCATCGAGGTCCTGCCTTCACCACGGTCAGATACATTCACGAGAGTGGTGGGTAGTGGGTGTCAGTACCCCCCTCAGACGGGGACCGTGGCAATCTTCTGGAGGATGGTTTCCATTTCCACTGATGCGTCAACGACTCGAAGGATATGCTTCGGACAACAAACTTGAAGTAGAAGAATCGTTTGCTACTACAGCCATTCACATATGAGTCCCCCCATCAAAACCGAAAAAAAAAAACAAAAAAAAAAACGACATTGCCGAGCTCCGTCTTAGCTGACTGCGGGTGCACATGCACTGCCGGAGGCGAGGTCAAGAGAAACGTGGGAGATCGATACCTCATCGATGCGGCCGAGAGGCAAACCGCCCAGCGGGCCGACGGTATGGTAGGGCGGAATCGGCAGGCAGGTCTGCAGACAGACAGACAGACAGGACGGCAGGGACACGGTCGCGGTTCAACTACGAACGTAATGGAACAACTTCTGAAAGAGATGACTACATACATATGGTACAAAGAACGCACCTGGTCAGACAAATTGATCAGATGCGCGACGATAAGATCGAAGCTTATCGAGACTTACCAGATAGCGGGAAGAACTGCATCGGGAGAAGAAAAAAAATAGCTTTCTCCTTCGTTTAGGGCCTCGCCGCACCAGTCTCCAAATCTGAAAAAGACAAAAAAAAAAAACATGGCGGCATGTGTATCCGTCCATGTTCTAAGGGAAAGTTCATTCGCATTTTGCACATTTGAAGAGTGGTGCGGCGAGCACCTTATCCACTCATATGCTTTACAAGTCGCGCATTGTTGACGTCCTCCGTCTGTCCAAGATCTGAAAATACAGCAGAAGAATTGATAATCGGCGCCACCTGGAACTTGAGATGCGGACCCGGATCCGGACGCAGACGTGGCTTCAAACACAGATGATGCCATCCCGGCAGCAGACGTTGCAAATGCGAAGACATCTTCCTCCTGCCCCTCCTCGTCCTCCGTTCGAATCCTGTGGCCGAAGGAAAGCGCGCGCTCGAAAGACAGAGAGAGAGAGAGAGAGAGAGAGAGAGAGAGAGAGAGAGCGATTGCAATGGCGGCGGCAGATCTCCCTTGCGCAGAGGTGCAACTACAGCTTCGACGTCAAAAGCTCTCATTTGACAACGGCTATCTCCAGGGAAAGGGGAGAGGGAGAGAGAGAGGGGGAGATGCGGGGGGCTCTGAGAATGTTCATAGCCTTCCTTCAACGTCAAGAGCGCATAACTCCTGCCGTGTAGTTCCCGCAATCCGCTCCATTTTTCCCGCCAATAGAATGGCTCGCCGCGTCTCCCGCACCAGGATTCTTCTGTGCTGACGTGGCGGCGTACTGCAAGGGGATGACCGGAATGAGGAGATTGCCGAACTGCGAGTCCCTGGTCACGAAGTTGCCCGTCGCTCCTGCCGTCTGCGCGCGAACGAGGGCCGCCTTCTTCGCGACTTGTAAACGACCCTCCTGGTGATGGAGGCGCTGAACGGCGACAGCCGCATCGTTGTGAAGGACGCGTGGCAGCGCGCTGTGCGACTGCTGATGCTGCTGCTGGACCAGCAGCCGGGGGGCATTCGAGTGGCTGGAGGTAGAGTTGGACAATGACATTGCGTCCGCTGATGCTGCTGCAGTTCCAGCAGCCGGGGGGCAGTCGCGCGACTGGAGCTAGAGACAAACAATGACATTGGGCCTCGCCGCACTACGCAGGAAAACGAGTGCCGTCTGCCGTTTCGTATCGTTTAGACAAAGGCCGCTCCTCGGTCACGTGAGGAAGGCTCTACACGAGGTTGGTGAGGTGTCATAGGCGGAAGCCGGGCGAGGCCTGCACCCTCGCAATTGTCGAGGGTGCTTCAAAAAAGAATACACACTCGCAATTGTTTTTTTTTTTTTTTTTTTACAGTTTGACTGTTTGTTTTTTT